TTAGCAGGTTGATCCCAGTGAGAGAGAAAGATCACTGTACGTCCCTAAGAAATATCAAACAAATACAATTGATCATCTGATCAGCTAATTCCTGCATTTAATCCGCAACAGATTTGAATACAAATGTTAAAATAAATTTTGTAGGCAAATGTTCAGTAAATGGCTTTAAAATAAATTTGCTTTTCAGTAATGCCATACAAAGATATTGCTCTGAAAGAGGTAGTACTGAATATCTGTAACATAGTATTCAAAGTTACGATCATCTACCGCTGTTTTGGAAAAGCACTGGGTGTCAATAAGCTTGACCTTTGGTTAGCTTAAATAAGAAATAATTGCTAATAAGAGGAAATAATAATATAAGACTTTTTAGTTCTTTAAGTCCAACTCCTTTGCTTCATTTCATTAAAATTTAATCTATCTGTATTTAATCTCTTTAAAAAAAAAAAAAAGAGAAACATTTAATTTTAATTTTTCACTTAGAAAACCACCAATACCCGTGGCTTCTGACAGTTTGACCCTTACAGAGAAGAGACCTGTTTTCTGATTTGGACTGGATACAGAAAATATCTTTTGAAGAATGGCTGACCTAACCTCCAAAATGCTACTGATTTGAGAAATATGAACAGTCTCCTATGAGAATGACAGAAATCTAAGAAAGAGCTTTCAGTATCCTGATGGTGGAATCTAATTTCAAGTTGAAAGTTACACACAGTTGCTGCCATTTAACTCATCTTTTTCAGGTATTTTTATACACAGCTTAATAAATGTTGATACTGAATGAGTTTTTATTCACTTTAAAAAAAATAAACCTTATTTAATCTTTTCTATGTAAGAACAAGTCAAGGTGAGAGAAAAGGTGAGACAGAAAGTGTTCAGTGGTTATTGGAGAGGATAAGACATAGGCAGTCTTTTATGAGAAAGAAAAGAAGTGCTAGTGATCATGAATCTCAAATTCAGAGTAGTTGTACTTTAACTTTGGTTTACTTTTCAGTCCCATTCTCAAAGCTCATCCTCCACCCTATGTCATATTTAACCCCTTGATTTCCTTTCCTGTCCGTGTGTGACTCCCTCATTGATGAGCAAAAGGGTTCTTAGCAAAACATTTTAAGCTTCTGTGAGGCTGAACACCTCTCTATAGTGTCCAGTAATATATTACACAGAAGTTGTAACTATGTACAAAAGAAGCTCTACTGACTCAGCATACTCAAAGCTCTGATTAATTCAGAAATAACCAACCAAAGAGAATACCCTAAGACAGAGAACCAAATCACGGAATCACAGAATTTTCAGAGTTGGAAGGGACCTCTAGAGATCATCTAGTCCAACTCCCCACCGACATCTGAAGTATGAAGGTGAACTATTTAGGGTAAAGAACCTTACGAGAAACAAATCATACACTTCGAGGGCACAGTCACATTGAAAAGAAAGCAATGTTTAAAGCTCTGATTAAACAGAAGTTATTGAGAAAGCCAAAAACTGCTGTATTTTGTTTCCTGATGACACCATCACAGACATCTTTGTGCACCAGCTCTTGCATAGAGAGAGTCTATTCAGGGTGAAGAGCAGGCTGAAACATGCTGGAAAAAATCTGTGTCTAATCTTTTCATAAGGTGGTCAAGCCATAAGGCCTGGATTCATCCGTCTTGAGCTCAGGGACTTCTGACCATGGGAATGAATGAATTCTGGGTTGTGCATGATCAGCAGCTCTCCCGCACAGCAGGGTGGAAACCACAGGAGGAAATCAAACACTCATGGATGATCAAAACAAGACATTTGATTTACTGTCTTGCTCTGGCCTGCTGAGATCTATCTCAGGACTGCCTGGCAGATACCACAGACAGCCCTCATTGCAGGGTTTTTTGCATGTCTCATTGTTCCTTTTCCTATTTCTTTGCCTTCCCCACATTTGCTGACTACTAATTAAATTTTGTTTGGTCTCAGATTTGCTACATCCGTACCTGAGGTTGGTATTTCAGTTATGCTTAAGGGGCACTGCTGGCTTTTCAAGGTTATGCTCCCCAGAAGGTCCCCAGTTCTCCCCTACAATTACCTGTGCTATTAGGCCATTTTACATATAACTGGCTTTTCTTTTTTCATGGTGTTATCTGTAACTCTTATCAGTGTTACATTGTTTCCTGTCATATCCACCAACTTTCTCATATAATGGTTCGTGGTTTCTCACATCCTGTTCATTTAGCTTAACTTCACATGAGGGTTTAGTCATCTGTCTGTACCACATTGTTCAAGAGGTCACTGCTAGTCCTGTTTCTTGTGTGATGTTTTTACAACTCATGCTCTTTACATTTTTAATTGTCCTAGTGCTTTTGCTGTATTATTTGCTAGTTTTTAAGCATTGTGAACATCAGAATAGACCTATCAAAATGTTTTTCACAGGTGCATTTGTAATCCCTCTTCCAGTTGTCAGAGTCATATACTCCTCACATGGTTTCAGCCATCTAAAATATGGTTTCCCAGACTAAGCTAGACTTAGAATCTTAGAACTGTAGAATACTTGGGGTAGGAAGGGACCTTTAAAGGTCATCTTGTTCAACCCCTCTGCAATGGACAGGGACATCTTCAACTACAACAGGTTGCTCAGAGCCCGTTCCAACCAACCTTGAATGTTTCCAGGGATGGGGCATCTACCACTGTTCTGCGCAACCTGTGCCAGTGCTTCACCACTCTCACTGTGAAAATTTTCTTCTTTATATCTAGTCTGAATCTACCTTTTTCTAGTTTAAAACCATTACTCCCTGTCCTATTGCTGCAGGCCCCATGTCCTATCGTTAGAGGCCCTACTTCTAGTATCCTTCTTTGTCAGAAAGGACACAAAGAATTTCCTGAAAATGATGGCTAGGTTAGGTTGAATAAATCTCCATGTAAGGGGATCCATTTCCCTACTCTGTTTATTTTGAGAGAACCCGAAGGACTTATTTCTCTGGGGCAGTAATCTTCTGTAAAAAGGCAGAGGACAATAATGAGTACTTGGTAGATGAGGGTCTGGGTTACTATGAAAAGACAATAAGGAGAACCGGAGAACAAAATTGTATAGTTTATTTTTCCCCCTTTTGTTTTAAAGAACAAAAGATAACTACTGAGGCCATCATTCTGAAAGATTTACTCACAGTGAGTGGAACTTAGTCACTCCATTATTCTTTTGTGGTCAATGATCCCAATCAGTGTAATTACCTCACAGATGTAGGTGAATGATACACCCTCTGAATCCCCAAGTAGAATTTTGAGGGCTGAGCTTCAATATTGACAAGATTTTTACAACCTCTCCATATACGGAATCTTTTTCAAGTCCTTCAATACTTTCTGTTTGCAAATTAGGCACAAAATACATCTAAAATCTTTACAGATGCAATATTTACATACATGCCTTCTCAGTTTTTACAAAAATGATTGTGTGAAAGATTTGAAAGGATGAAAGATGTCTTCTAGCTGACAAGGTCGAAAAGAACCAGCCATTGCACATCTGCAAAAGAGCGTATCTGAACTAATGTGTGTCACAACAAATATATTTTCATTCATAGATAGAAATCTGACATATATAGGAGTATGCAGCTGATATAACATATGAGACAGCCCTGACTAGTATCTTTCTTAAGTTTTTCAAGGAAAAAGTACATCAGTAGAAATTAAAATATCTTGCTATTTTATACGAGAGGAGTTTTCCCCTTAAACCTGATAAGTAAGACTTGAAATAAGATGCTACTATAAAAAAGTCTTGAAAATTCACCCATTGTAGTCTGTTCTTCTGAGACATCAGTGGTAGTCTTCTGTGTCTGAATAATGCCCAGAGGCACTGTGATCCTTCTGTTAGATTTTCATGTCCCATCCATTGCCGCTCAATGGATTACCCCATGTACGTATACACAGATGTGTGACTGTGCTCCCAGTTACTTTCATCTCATATTGTTCCTTCAGATACCTCACTTCTTTCTCTTAATTGAGCAGCCATTATCATCACTTCTCAGGTGGAGTTAATTTACCTTAATTTAGGTTCAATTTTCTTCCTTCTGCTTTCTTTTGTTTTAGGAGGCGGTGACTTCAAAGGTAGCAACTCTCCACACAGAAGTTCTCCACTGAGCCTTCTGTAGGTTGAACATAATTGCTTTCTGATCAGTTCCTAACAATTAGTGTTTTTTCTTAGAGCTAGCATTTGGTGCAGTTTTTGTCTATTGACATTAACAGTGCTACTATCCACTTATTACTGTTGGACATAATAAGATGTGTTATGTAATTACCTGTTTTTCATAGCTCCTACTCAATTCCTTTTTTGTGTCTTTGAAACAGTCTAAATAATTCTGTGCCAATAATGACATTTTTCACCATCTCACGTTCCTCTCCCTTTCAATAAACATATTAACAAAGAATCTTGATACTCATACTGCCACTTAGTATACCTCATCAGTTACTATATTCTGTGCTTTGCCATGAAAATTATTTCCACATTTTGTTTCCTGTCATAACCAATCTTCAAAATACATCTCTCCCCCATCCAAAAACAGGACAACACACTTTTTAAGAAAGTTAATCTGGGATGCTCTAGTGAAAAGCTTGTTAGAATCCAAATAAACAATATCAATCTATTTCTTCTTGATTAGCCCTATGCAGTTGCAGGATGTGACCATAACTCAGAAATCTTGCAGTTAAATATATTATCCTCTAATAGTCTTGACACACCAAAGATGTTTCAATGGCTATATTGACTCAGTGACCACAAAAGGTAAAATACAGACAATCTTGTAGAGCAGTTTGTGGTGGGTTTTTCTGATGAAGGAAGTTAGTGAAAGGATCTAATTAATTCACCTGAGCTTGGCATAAGTACTACATATTCTAAAATCAAACTTGTTCTATATTACAAAAATATAGCTACCTACAGCCCCTTCTTGAAAACCTAGTGTGGGTAAGACAATACTCAGATGTTGGGTTTTAGCATTAGAAACTGAAAAAAAAAGCATCATTAGGAAAAATATTACAGATGAATTAGTCTTCTACATTGTGGCTTCAAATCTGCTGTGCTCATCGTAGTTGTTGGAGTGAATTTCATGTTGTTTCTCCTCTTCTGGAACCTGCCATGAAAATCGGAGAAGAGTTCAGTTGATGAGACATAGACTTCCTTTTGCCATAAAAGGAGACTAAAGTGTACTGAGAACGTTGTTCTGTTTGTACATATCATGTGTCTATTTAATAACATTGACCCAGCCTGACATGAACCACCAGTTCTGAATTCTGGGGGAAGAATTCAGAGGTTTCTTAATGGAAGAATTCCTTAACACTGATGTCAGCTATGAGAGTGAGAAATTAATATCCGGGATTTTCAAAGAAACAAGGTGACCATCTCTAATGAAATCTAAATGATGTTGTATGCCAAATATCAATATCCTTTCACATTACCTGATAATGTTCACTTAGAATAGGATATTTCTGAGCAGCTCTACTGATACTATAGGACCTTCAATTGAGCAGGGTTGTATTATCATCACTGGTCAACACAGACTGTGAATTCTTCAGCCACACTTTAAAACTTTCCCTTTCCTGACATTTTTTATCATTTATGTATGACAGCCTATTTCAGGTCTTGCTGAAAATCAGTGGTTTGACTTTCCTGAGGTCAAACAGAGAATGACTTGCAGAGCTGTCATTAAAAGCTGTTTTTTCTGGTTGTCATTGCTACAGCTGATCTTTTGGCTCAAAACTTCCCCTTAGACCACAAACTGTCTCTCACCAAAAGCCAAATTGTATGGTTCATATGGCAGTTTAATTCATTAAAAAAACTAATAAAATCTCCTTTTGGGCTCACAACATTTTATTTACAAGGAATGTATATCATGTATTTCTTCTTATTTTGCCTTTTTGAGTTTGTCCTGGCATAAAGGATAAAATTCAGATTGCCTAAATTAAGAACATGTCATCAGTTAATGAAGACAGTTGCAGAAAGCCTACAAGGTTAGTCCAATGTAAACGACATGACTAGCTAGCAAGTCTAAAAAATGATCCTGCAGGATTTATCAAAGAATTTATCAAAATTCACAGCCTGAGGCAGAGCAATGTTTTTGAAAGTCTGACTCGTGTGCAAACCACAAACCCCAGGAGATCAGGACTGAAGTGTGCTGTGCATCTTCCAACATAATGAAAATAAAGGGAGGTTGTATCTTACCTCCCAATAAACAGAGTCATCAAAGCAGTTCTGGTCAGATGCTTGCCCCAAGAAGGGCAGCTTTAGAATACCACCTGCAGGAAAAACAGCATCAGAGGTTAAAAAATGGACAAAATGCCCAAATAAATGTTCCTCAGATGTGGCCTGGGGAGTCATCTAAGTTTTCTGACTCGTTTCCTAGTCTACAGAAATACCCAACCATCTGTGGACATCAGATCACTCATTATGGGAGGTGATTCAGGTTTCTTCATGTCAACATAGACAAGAGCTTGTTTTTAATTGTTCAAACCTTTCCCAGCTCTCAGACTGGAATTTTTTGTTTCAACCTGAATTTTTGTTTGGGAAGTTTCCACAATCACATGGAAACATGTGACACCTAAATGATTATGTTTTAATCTCAAACTAGTTTCTGTTAAGAATTTTAACTGTCTGAATCTAGAGAAGGATTCCATCCAGAACAACATTTTACTATTCCTATACATACTTTCCAGTGTCTTTGAACCATGTATTCAGTAAGATATCTAGGCTTCATTTGAAGACAAAACTATTTGAAAACTGCTTTTCCATATTTATGTTTCTGCCAGTGTGCCGTTGTGCATTATTTCTATATTTCTGTTTTGTGTTATTCACATGAATTTTTTGATACATTGAAGTTCTCCATGAGCAAACCTCTAAATTCACATACATTTTAGTTGCTATATGCATCATACTGACCTGTCAAAGCTCCGCCTGCCAGTGCAATTCCAATTGAACTTCCCAGGGCAGCAGCCTGCATGCCAGGAGTGAAGCGGACACCTTGCCTGAAAAGGGCAGAAACCCAAACCATTGACAAACAAAAAATTTTTACACTTTGAAACTGATAATGGGTCTTACAGCATTGTATTTGCTGTCTGCTGGACAAGATAGCTCATAGGAAAATATCCTGCCATTGCTGTGTACCAGACAGAAATAATGATTTTATTTTGGTCTTGTTTTAGGTTACAGATGAAAACAAGTTCTTTGAAAAGGTTATTCGTATCCTGCAAACCTGTAGAAAAGCTCTCCCTTCTCAAAAAGACCAGCATTTCTTGGAGTCTTTTAAGATAGTGGAAATAGCCCATTTTACCAACTTTCCTGAAAATCTTACAGTTACCAGCATTGAAATTGTAGAATCATAATAAAGATTATTATAAATTTTAATGGTTCTGTGTGTTGTTTTTTTATGATGTTTTTAATTTATTTATTTTTACTTGAGCTTTTGATTTGGAATCCTATTTAAACCAGAACACAATGTCTGACATAAAATCAAAGATGCATTTTCTGGGGAAAAAAAAAAAAAGTCAATTATAATTAGATCCAAGAAAGGTGGAAAATAGGGATGGACCTTAAAAAAATCAATAAATTCCTCTCTCTCTTCTCTCTATAACTTACCTAACTTCCTCTTTTACTGCAGTTACTATGATGCCAGCGATACCTCCCAGTATTCCAGGTAAACCATGTAAATTATGAACTCCACAAGTGTCTTGAATGTTCAGCTTGGATGCCAACAAAGGCTGAAATGAGGGGAAATAGGAAGTTTATAGTGAGTTTATAGTCTTCCATTATCTCTAGAATGATATGTAAAAGAAAGTAGTGCAGAACTGCAAGAAAAAACTTAACTTCTTTAATGTATGCAAAGTTTAGCTATAAAACCTGCTGTCTTTTCCTTCACTGGGAAATTGTTTATATGCAGAGAAAACCAAGTATGTACATATAGTGATACAAATGTTCCAAGCTACCATCATAAATACGGTACAAAACCCATGACAGTCCAGTGATATTCCTAATCTTTTCAGCCACTACAGCAAAGGTTGAGAGAGGTGGGTAAGTAACACATACACACCTGTTCTGAGTCTGTTAGCCAGGTATTTTCTTTCAGAATGTTTCTCCATCAGGAAATGCTAGTTTAAACAGTTTTACTCAGAATATTTTGTTTCTACATTTTGCACATGAACCAATTCCATCTTATACTTCAAAAGTATTGTTTGATGACAGATCTATTTAGAAATTTTAGAAGACTGAAATGTAATCACTCCTATTTCACTGAAAGATGGGCTTGGAGCAAAACTCTGGCAGCTCCTTGAACAGAAATTCCAACTTTAATGAACCCCTATATCTGCGTGATCCATGCTGGGCTGCATCAAAAGCAGCGTGGCCAGCAGGTCGAGAGAGGTGATTCTGCCCCTCTACTCCACTCCTGTGAGACCCCACCTGGAGTATTGCATCCAGCTCTGGAGCCCCCAATGTAAGAAGGACATGTTGGAGTGGGTCCAGTGGAGGCCAAGAAGATGATGAGAGGGCTGGACCACCTCTGCTGTGATGACAGGCTGAGAGAGTTGGGGTTGTTCAGCCTGGAAAAGAGAAGACTCCAGGGAGACTTTATAGCAGTCTCTCAGTATCTGAAGGGCGCCTACAAGAAAGCTGGGGAGGGACTTTTTACTAGGGCATGTAGTGATAGGACGAGAGGCAACGGTTTTAAACTGAAAGAAGGGAGATTTAGAAGAGAAATTAGGAAGAAATTTTTCACTATGAGGGTGATGAGGCACAGGAACAGGATTCCCGGGGAAGTTGTGGAGGCCCCATCCCTGGAAGTTTTCAAGGCCAGGTTGGATGGGGCTTTGAGCAATTTGGTCTAGTGGGAGGTGTCCCTGCCCATGGCAGGGGGGTTGGAATTAGATGTTCTTTAAGGTCCTTTCCAGGCTAAACCATTCCATCATTCTATGATCCTCTGTTTTTAGCTAGGTGATGGACTGAAGTTAGCTCATAAACATATATTGAAGTCACACTGATTCAAAAATAACCATTATCTAGCGCTTATTCTCTATACTCTATCAGCCAGTTTCTAAATTCCCTTTCTCGAAAACCAAGGGAGCTCCAGTAAAGCCAATGAAGCAGTAAGTAAATGAGAGCAGAGGTGGGTCCTCAATACTTACTGTCAGGAAGTGGTACCCAAGGACAGAGACGATTCCAGCAATGCTCCCAATGCACATGGCAACGAAAGGGTGGATGGACAAGTCAGCACAGGTACCCACTGCTACTCCTCCTGCCAGGGTGGCATTTTGAATGAGAACCTGCGATGAGTACACAGAGGCAAAGATGATATATGTGGAACAGAGGCTTGTTTTAGGGCTGAGTGACTTTGAAGGCTTTTTTACATACAGAGGTTTTTCTTTTCTTCAGGTGGGATTTTTTCCAATGGAGAATGAACAAGAATTTAAAACAGGGTTCCCTGTTAAAGCTGGGATTCAAAGCTGCTCTAAGGCAGTTTAACTGGGGCCAGTTTAATGAATTCCAGCTTTTGCAAAGTCACTAAAACTCATCTGACCTCTTGAGAAACCGCACTGAGCCAGTGGGAACAGCCTCCTGCAACAACAGCAAATTCTTCAGGCTCATTGAACTGTGCCCGCTCACGCTGGGCTTAAATAAACACTGCAACTGCTGGAAAGAATTGGGTGAAAACACAGGGCGGGATTTTAGGGCAAGGAGATGAAAAGCTGGCAGCCTGACAGCCCCAACCTACATTGGCTTTGTCTGTTGTGCAGTGGCACTCTGAGATTACCGGGGAAGAAGTTGTTGCCTTGAGAGACCTATTTTGGCTATTGCAGTACACTAACTCACATAGGATCTTCTTTGGAATAAGACCCAAAAGTCCACCTGAACGTTGGACTAATATCTCTATGGTCCAGCAGGTTCTGTGGACAAAAGAGAACACGGGAGCAGGGCCATCACTATAATGTCTTAGAGCTTTTCACTCTCCAGGTACACTGATCTCCCTGAGGAATCACCACACACCTAAAGCAGGGTGGGTTGCCTCAGGGACCAATCTTACATTATAGCCTGTAGAAGTGTAATAGGTCTAATTTTGCCTACAGTATGACCAAAGGCCCCAGATAGCTCATGGACATTGGGAATTTGCCTAATCATTCTTATTGTAGAGGGGTGACTCGATTTAACAGAGGCCATGATATCATTCTTACCATACTGAATTTGCCTCTTTGATCCACCAGGCTGGAGAGGGCAAATGTCACAACAGTACACGCAGCCAAGGAATAGTAAGTGTTGACAATTGCTTTAATCTGGTAAATCGTTTCGGATGCAATGGCGGAGTTAAAACTGGGCCAAAAAAGCCAAAGGAACAGGGTACCTGGATGAATATAAGTCAAAATGAAACAAAGACTCTTCAGTCACAAGGGGTATTCCAATAAGGTCCAACGCAACAGAACTAGCTACAAGAAAAGAGGAGGATGATCAATAAGAAACATGAAATAGAAAAAATGTGGGAAGGAATAATAGATTATGCAGAAGCTTTTGACACTGGCAGTTGGGATTTTGACACACGGTCTTTGTCAAATCTTACTGGAAGACTTTAACACATTGTGGACCCTTGTCATGTCCCACTTTCTGCCAGAGCCCACCACCACTGTGGAAACCGTGCTAGAATAGGATGTGTTAGCAAGATAATTCACATGCAAGTCCTTTATCATCTATCGATATAACTGATATAGCATATCCTGTCCCTCTACTCCACTCTCATGAGACCCCACCTGGAGTACTGCATCCAGCTCTGGAGTCCCCACCATAGGAAAGATATGGACCTGCTGGAGCGTGTCCAGAGGAGAGCCACGAGGACGATCTGAGGGCTGGAGCACCTCTCCTATGAGGAGTGTCTGAGAGAGTTGTGGCTGTTCAGCCTGGAGAAGAGAAGGCTCCGAGGAGATCTTATTGCCGCCTTCCAGTGCCTAAAGGGGCTACAGGAGAGCTGGGGAGGGACTTTTTACTGGGGCATGTAGTGACAGGACGAGGGGGAATGGCTATAAACTGGAAGAGGGCAGGTTTAGATTAAACATTAGGAAGAAGTTTTTCACTTTAAGGGTGGTGAGGCAGTGGAACAGGTTGCCCAGAGAGGTTGTTGAGGCCCCATCCCTGGAGGTGTTCAAGGCCAGGCTGGATGGGGCTTTGGGCAACCTGGTGTAGTGGGAGGTGTCCCTGCCCATGGCAGAGGGGTTGGAACTCGATGATCTTCAAGGTCCTTTCCAACCTAAACTGTTCTATGATTCTATGATAGTTTTAGCTGGTAAATTGATCTATGAATAGATCTCATGTATCGTTTCTAAGATTCATTGGCAGGACAGGCACATCTCAGTACTTTTAATTATGGGCAATTTCTTTGGATATACTACTTATAACAGAAGATTTAGCAAAATGGGAGTCACCACTAGTCCACAGTGAAAATGCATCTTTAATTTGATTTTTCCTTTTTTAAACAAGGAAAAACTGTAAAAACTTGTGTCGGTGAAAACACTGTGCATGCATTAGACAAAAAAGAATATGCCTCTAGGAATGTACTTCAGAAACTGGGTGCAGTGTAATAATAGGTGAACCGTAAAACATACGGATGAAAGAGGGGTGAACAACTGATCAGCACTCACTATTATTTCACTTACCAATCATGGCAAATATATCCGAATGGTAGGTAGATTCTTCATTTTCATGTTTGTTTTTCAAACCAGGACGATACAAGACTAGGGTTACCGCCAAACCAAAATAAGCTCCAAAAGCATGGATAGTCATTGAGGCTCCAACATCTGTGGCCTGTAATAGGGACCCAGAATAATGCCCCAGATTTCATACAGCATAAAGACAAGAATTTGAGTGGTTTATAAAACCTAGAATATGTAAACTGGAATTGTTACAAAGTGAAAACATTTTTATAAACAGAAAACAGTTATTGCTAAATAGTTGTACCTGAAGTACTTCTGTAACTAGATGTTCATTGCATGCAAAGATTGTGATCTCCAGAATTGTTAGGATCAGCATCTGAACAGGGCTTGTTTTCCCCAGGACTGCTCCAAATGAAATCAAAGCAGTTGCTGTACTGAAGTCTGCATTTATCATGCTGAAGTTAAGAAAATTAATAAAATAAAACAAAGCAAAACAAAAACACAGGAAAAAAGAAAATTAGTTTAAAGATAGCTGAAATAAGGCTGTAATATCAAACCTGTCATATCATTGAAATGATAGAGCTTTAACTCTTCAGATATAAAATTATCAAGACCATGTTTATGGATGAAAATGAAATCATACCTTTCAAGATGGATTTTGTGGGGATCTTACCAGCTACTGAGGAAAAAGCATGGGAAGGTTACCTCCTGCTTATACCATATATGTGTTTAGCTGGTTGAAATGTCAGTGAAAAGTCAGATGAGATGTGTATTGCAGATGTGTAGGAGTATTTCCAGCTCTGACTGTCAATTGGACTCCAAAGATGACATGGAGCTCCTAGCTTTGGTCAGATGATTTATCTCATTTCAAAAGCCTTCACAGAATCAAAGAATCACAGAATGTTCAGGGTTGGAAGGGACCTCTGGAGATCATTTAGTCCAACCCCCCTGCCAGAGCAGGGTCACCTACAGCAGGTTGCACAGGACAGCATCCAGGCAGGTTTTGAATGTCTCCAAAGTCGGAGACTCCACCACCTCTCTGGGCAGCCTGTGCCAGTGCTCCACTACCCTCAAAGTAAAGAAGTTCCTCCTCATCTTAAGATGGAACTTCCTATGTTCAAGTTTGTGCCCGTTACCTCTTGTCCTATCACTGGGCATCACTGAAAAAAGACTGCTCCCATCCCCCTGGCATCCTCCTTTCAAGTATTTATAAGCATTAATAAGATCCCCTCACAGTCTTCTCTTCTCCAGACTAAAAAGACCCAAATCCCTCAGGCTTTCACAGGGGGAACCAAGTCCCTTCATCCTTGCCTACCTTTCTATCACTGTGCATCATGTTTGCACCAGCTGACAGGAAGGACCGCTGTTAACAGGTTATGGGGAATAGCAAAGATCAATAAAAACACAAGTCGGTCAAAAACTTGCAGCACAGAGATCAATAGCTTATGGGTGCCTCTACAAATGCCTGTCTGTAAGCATTAAGAAGCTACATATACTATTTCTGCATGTCCCTTGATGTTCCTTTCAAAACTGTCTACAAGTTGTTTCAGAAAACAGAGCTGCAGATGTGGAAAACACTCTGAGACCTTGGTAGAAGCAGGACAGATGAATAACGTGGATTAAGAGAGATTGCTCATGAGGTCTCTTACTCTGTGACTGGGGTCCAAAAGCTACTGCAGTATGGTGCTGATGCAAATCATTCCTTGAGAAGTAGGACAAAACCTCATGAGTGGATAAACACACTTCCAGCCTTTCTTCCAGCCCCACGTGTCATGGAAGGACAGATCCTTTCATGACTGCTGGATGCAGGAGGTGCTGTGCCACTGCTGGAATTCTTCCAGCTTCCACAGCTCCAGAGATTCAAACCAGTCTTTCTACATGACCAATGGCCCGCATGTAATGTAGCACTTCCAATTTCATCCCACCCTTTGGTTCCCTTGGCCCAGTGCACCAGGTGTTGCCCCTTTAGAGGTGAAGGGCGGATGAATGTTGAGAGATGGACAGTAAGGCTTAATCAAATTTCAGCAAACTTAGAAGTCTGATCCCACAGATGTTGTAGGTTATGGCTTATCCTGATATGCGGAAGGATAGAAATGTCAATTTTGGTAAATTCACATGTACCTTTTGACATCAACATGAATTTTCCCTCCTTTCATGTGCCAAAATCCTTGCATCAGCGTTCCCCACTGGAGACCAAAGGCAGCAATGAGCATGTTGATACCAACACTGCTGAATCCATATTTCTTCAGAAAAGTCATCAGGAAACCAAATCCAACAAATATCATCACATGGACATCCTGAAAGACTGAAGGGAAAACATGTCTGTAAGAGACTATGAAGAGTGACTATGAAGGGAGGAAAGCTAGGGACAAATGAGCATTTAACAGAAAAGAAAAGAGTTCCAAACTCATGTCATCAATGTGATCCAACCTTCCTCACTTCATGACAGGCCTACCAGTTGAAGATTGAGTGTCTGGAAAATGCAAGACCCAATTATTGATTGTATTCCTTGCTATATCATTATGGAAAGAACACTGGGTTTCTATACTAGCAGATTTAATGTATCTGGAACTGTTTTCGGTGTGTGAAGCTACCGGGAACATCACAGCTTCATGCCCTTACAGAAAAGTTCCCTTCCCTCTTAAATTAAGGTTGTCACATCCAGTGTGTTCTGGCTAACTCCAAAATTGTATATGGGATTTGTTTAGCAGAGTGCTGGTTGTCCCCGTGCAAAGGTATTTTTGTGATCCCTAAAAATTACTGTACAAGAGACTGATTTCTTTACCTGGGTAAAAGAAAAAGGCATTTAAAGTAATGTCTAACCTAGTAAATTAATATTTCTAATCAGCATATACTTAGCCCTCCTTCAAAAAAGCTTTTTTTTTTTTTTCAAATATGGATTTTGTTCAAACATGGCTAGTTCTTTTTCTACTTTTCTAATTTATTTTTTTTAATTTCCTTTTTAGAATTTTTAATACAAAATGAGTTTATCACCACAACATGGATGTATTATATTTTAAAATATTTTGCTACTCTGAAGTGTTTTATGTGAATTAATGAACTCTACACTGAACACCCTTTGAGTCCTGTAATTAAAGCTTTTTCTTTGATTTTATTGTTAGTAAGGACCTCTGTATTGAGAAACTATTTCTTTTCATTTCTCTTTCATGGAAAATATGTGGGAAAAACTTGAGACATTGACCTGGTTTGTATAATATTTGCCTTGAAGTTACATTTTCCAGTTAAGTACTTTCAGCATTCCTATAGTTTTGCTATATGCATTACCAGGTTTAGCCAAAAGAGGGCCCAGAAGTATAAGTTACTGGAGATTCGTAATAAGCTCTTATTATATTTGCACTGTCATATTCCAGCCCTGGCCTAACAGTGAAGTACATACGCGCATGTAGTAAGATCCTTTTCATTGGGCTACATGCATCCAAGAAGCGGCACAGGAATGCAGGTGGCTCATAGACATCCCCAACCCTTTTGTGTCCTCTTTAGGCTGGACATTTTCACATTTATTTCCTGACCTCAATAATAACCAGTGATGGGATTTTTGAGACCTCTGCAGTCCTTTGGAAGCTTCCCATTTTCTCCCATGTTACTAAGTTTCCAAAACTACTTTCCAAACTCTTGTGTTGTCCTTACTACTTATTTTATAACAAACACAACCAATTAACTCCCCCATTTGGGCTTCTCTCTTTATATACTTTATATATTTTGTATTGCAATGCTGTGTGAAAATAAATATCTTGCTTAGAGTTCAACGTATTCCCTTGCTTCAGAGGACCTGGCAAGAGATGAAAATGACATGGTTAGGGACAACGCAAACCATGTTGATACAACCTTCCCGATTCTACCAGAAGCAAAGACTTTAGTGTCTTTGTGGATGCAGAACCCAAAATACAGCTTAATTTGCCCATATTCCAGTGCCAGAGGGTGTTAGCAGGGGGTGTTTAGGAAAAGGATATTAAAGTACAAGATCATTGGATGGGTACATCTCTCTGTGTACCCTCCCAGCTTGCAGCAGCCTGTGCCACAGGAACAGAGAGCTGCGCCTTCGTACCTGACTTGACTGTGGTGGTGGACTGCACAACTAGAGCAGCTCTCTTTCAAATAATTTGGAAAACCTGTAGCAGAGGTTAGTGCTGATAAAACTGAGAGTGAAAAGCCTTCCCAGCATTCCTCTACACCGCCCTGATGATCTCAAGGTGAGGGACTTTTAAGTGGGACAAAAATATGTTGGCAGGTCACATGAGAAAGCTCTTCTCAATTAAGGGAAGCAGTAAACCAACAACCCTTTCCCTCTTTCTGAGGACAGTGGAAACTAGATGTTGAACAAGCCTTTTCCTCCCCTTTGAAAAATAATTTTCTAAGAGTGACCATTCACCCAGTCACCTGTGGGATCAGCACCTTCACATTTGAGAAGTGGCTCAGGTTATTTGTCTGACTCTTGCAAAACAACTTTATTAATAACTTGTTAATGTTACCAAAAAAATACAGAACTAGAGGGCAAATCCATAAAAACTGCACAGAATCATCTACAAAGGTAGTCTTTTAGTTTTACTTTAGCAGAAGAAAATGGAAATGTATTTAGTAAATGCTTAGCATGACAAGTCAAAGTGATATACGACTTCAACAGTTTTCAATTTTTATCACATAAGTTTCCTGCACAAAATAAGGGGTATATTTGAAAATGACCTTCTTCTGCTCTTTTTATTATTTTGTCAGCCTATGCCATAGACTTCCCAATAAATTTTCAGTTTTGCCCATTCAGAGTAGACAGCTCCAGGTATGAAAATGTTTCCAGTCTCCCAGGGGAGATTATGGTTTGTTAGCATTCAGCACATTACTTGCTCTTGTTTGAAGTCTCCTGATTAAATCACTGCAGAAAAAGCAAGTAAATTGTTCTCATCAAAACAATCCCGTTCATGTATACAACATCTCAGTAAATCACGTCTAGATTAGTAACAAATGCTTTACTGCTTAAGTAACCTGACCCTACATGTGAGCAAAAGAACAGGTTTCAAAAACACCTTGATGACTAAGGAGTTTAATTTTCAGTGCCCATCAATAGAGCTTCTGCATGCTCAGGTCTCTTTTGAAAGGTGTTTTTAGAAATCTTACCCCAGCCCTGAAGATTAGAAGCAATTCTGTTTGAAACAAGCAGCTGGTTGAGATGTAATCCTGGGTCTTCCTGAGGGTTGCCCAGCCCTCATATTAAAACATATAAATGTTTTAAAGCTCTCTGGATTTATTTACACAAAAGTCTAAAAGTCCTGGTTAAACCTAGTTTAATTCATGTACGTTGAGGACAAATTTCAACTTGCCTAGCCTATACCTTGTGCTTTAACTACCTGTTATGCATGCTTTCAAATAAGAGCATGTCTGGAATGGTTTCAAATGATGAAGAAAACAGCATGATTTGTGATAAGGTATTCCACTAATTAGTTACTTTTAATAAAACATAGTACTTATTTTCCACGTGATAGGAAAATAAAGAGGGAAAACCACTCCAGCAGACCTTGACCAACACCACTGCATATGATCCTGCAAGGCTGCCCAAGACCAGCGTATTAATTCCACTGCAAGGTCTCCACATGGTGGTCTGAAGGCCAGAGCTCAGCTAGCCTCAACAAAACTTCAAGTGTTAAACAACTGATAAAGGAGGACGTGCTGGAACTCGTTGGCCACAAACCCTGGGAGGAACTAGGTGACACTGTTGCCTAGAAGGAACAGAGAGTGCTTGCTCTGTTGAGAGATACAGACAGTAAATTGTGTTGAAAAAAGATGTGCTAAGGTCCTTGTAGTTTGGGCAAGGAAGGTATGTTAGTATTAACCAGTGAGTAAATGTCTAGTGCCTAAAATTAGCCAATCAGTAGAAGACACGCTGCCTTTGCTATGGGTATAAGGAACCTAAAATCCTAATAAATCGACATCTTGCTTGCATCAAGCTGTGTCCCGTCTCTTCATCGCGGCAGTGGTCAGTCTCAATGCAAAGATGCTTGTTGCATCTAGTTTTGTACAAAAACTTGGCTCTGCCTAAAGGGGTAAACCGTAGAACCCTGAACAAGAGCGGCACATAAGTTTTCCTAAGCCATGAGTCATGGAGCAATCACAGGACATTACATACAGGATACCAGTATTAAAGAAGTCGTCTGGGAGTGCTTGCAGAACCATCACATGCCCTTGTCCTCCCATTCAATAACATGGCACACCTCAAGTTGTCCATTCAATTCACCATGCTGGTACTTGCATCCACCAGAAATAGATATAATGCAAAGCTATGCTTTGGGGGTGATCTCAGGTCAGCCCCCCTTACCTGAGTGCAAAACTATGGCGATCCTCAATCATTATTTTAATCTTTTTCTTTCCAAAAAATACTGAAACAGCTTGGATTCATGGTGCTGAGGTATTTACAGCATATAAAAGCAGGCCCTGCACTTCAGTTCTGAGAATATAAATAGGCCCCTGGATGAAACAACGAAATCTATGAGGTACAGATGGTTAACATCCCTGGGGATAGCATGAGAAGCAGTTTGAACCCATCATTTTGTGAAGTCAGTGGAAGTCCTGGCTCAGGATGTGTCCTAATACATCTACACAACCATAGCATTAACTTTCTGCTGGGTCCTCAGGCAAACCATGCTCTTGTGTGTGCTTTTTAGTGAGGGAAGTTTGAGGGGAAGAGGACCTAAAAGGGAAAACATGGGTATCAGGAAATCCTGCTTTTATTCTGCTTGTTTATTGTGAATGAGATTCATCTACTCTTAGGTCAGCATCAAAAAGTCCAACATTATCTGTGGTGTTTGCTTACCTTATGTCTTTTTGGCAAACTGAGCAGCCTGGACAAAAGCCAAATGGCATAGGTTGACCCACGTCTGTACAGCTACTTGCTCTTTCTTCCCAAAACACTGTTCCCACCTGTTCTACCTGTTGTGAGTAGTCCCATATCTTTGCTATGCTAAAGCCATACCCAGGAGGAGGTCAAGGTGCTGGTTTACACGAGCCAAAACTCTGCCTGAAGCTTGCTAGCAGTTCAATAGTGTGGACAGCTGGGGAAGAGTGTGCAGGTATAACATAGTCATACACTGCCTGTACAGGAAGGCATCACGTCCAGCAGAAAATTTCTCCAACGTAATCTTTAGGGAAGGAATAGCTATAGGTGATCCCTAACTGGATAGATCACATTTAAAGGCTTATAGTGTAGTGTTAGCACCTGGTGAGAAGAATCCTTTTCTCTGTGATGTTGATGAGGCTCCTGCCCTCTCTCTGACATCTCTGTGAAATGGAGATATTAAATTAAAAACCAGAGCTCCCCGACAAGGGCTGGAACATGGTTTTGTTAAGTGTAGGAACAGCCTATCCCAGGAGGTCCTCAGGGAGCATAGTACCCACAGTGATGCGTGTGGCACAGGCAATCTCCATCCAGAAGACTTGAGGTTTACTAAGAAGTGCAACACAGTACTGTAAGGGGCCGCTGAAGACTATTAAATTACTGGCATAAGCGTGGGGAACCCATGCACCTTTCTTCATTTTCCTGGGTAAGGGGAACTCCAAGAAGATGCAGGTCAACTTACCACCAGAGCCAGCAGGTATGATACTCAGACTGGAGAAGGTCATTTTCTCTGTTCTTGCTGGGCAAAAACACCTTAATCTGAGTCTGAAGGACCCATGTCCTAGATAGCATCCGTCTGGCTTACCAAAGTATACAAATATGTCCAAACCACTATTGTTCTGGGGCTGTATCTGTTGTTGTCATGTTGCTTTGGGGTAGAGTCAGAGAAGAGGTGGTGGAAAGGTGTTTTAGGCAATAGCCATGTTAATAAAATAACAGTGCCAGAGTAGAATTATCTGTGCTGCCAAATTATGGGTGGTCTCTGGCATAGTTTTTGCCTGGACCAGCTTTCACCTCTTGGGTGACAGTGGAACAAGGGTCATTCTTAATATACACTCTAGATAAGGCCACTAGATTTAGGAACTGGGGTAGTTCAGTATTATGGACATGGCCAAGCTGTGTCTCAGAAAGAGAACGGGCTCTGGCATAGCCTAAGTTACTATCTCTCGGGAATACTGCTACATCTCAGTGGAGTTAACCCAAATGTGAGTAAATAGCCCCTGATGTTCATCAGCTGATATGCACCTGGAGCTGAATAATGCATTCGCTGTTCTCTCAACTGGACAGTGCTCTGTGTGAGAACACACAACGCAAGACTACTAAGGAGTGAAGTGACCCTGAGATCCCATTGCCCTGTAACAGTCACTGAAAGGCCAGTTGGAATGAGACAAAAATTCAAAATTACATGGGTACTGCATAGAGGCAAGGAGTTCTGTACTTGTATGACCATCATAATCAAGAGGATTACAAGTCGTTAAGACATTGGAGCCAAGGAAACGAACAACAAACCTTCAATACTGCCAGCACGACACAGGCTGCTCCTCTGCAGACCTATTTTTCTATTTATTTACAACAGTCTGATCTTTGCCTGAAGAGGAGGAGGGTGGGAGAAGTCAGCAACTACTACTCAAGCCAAAAGCTTTCTCCCTGAACTTCATCAAACATTTGCAGAACAACAGATCAACAGAAACATTTGCAGGCTGAACCATTACTGTCTACGACAGAACCACTGCTTTCAAAGATAGGAGGGGTTATCCACCTTGTGACAAAAAGTATTGCCCTTCGTCGAGACCAGTTTCTGCAAACATATTTTATAACAATGATAAATATGCTGCCCAATTTCTGTGTTCTTATGAGAGAACCTCTTGAAACCGGTATAATAGTAATGAAACATTCTGTTCATTTTCATTATTTGATACAGTAATCAGGATAGAAGGTCTGGCAAGAGGCACTACCATCCATCTCTGGAAAATGCTACTATTGTTCAAAGCAATTCATATTTCTCCAAGTTTTAACCTGCTATGCTAACACTAGAACTATTTTCAGGACTCTTCTTTCCCAGAGCAGCCAACTTCTCAGCAGTTAGCTACTTTCAGAATTTTGTATGTGCTCAACTTGAATTTGTCTTTGAAGCCTGCTGCTTTCACACCTCAGAAAAAGTTTGTTTGCCCCAAAGCACGCCTTTCTCTTCCAGCTATATTGGTAGGTTTCATAAGTTATTCAGAAATCTTGCTTAGATTTAGTTTAAAGAAATTCTAACTTCTATAAATCTTAGACAGCAACACTTACGTGGGTATAAAGTTTGAGAGGCATCACTGTTGTCATATTCCACAAATATCCCAAACAACACAATGATGATGACTTCCAGAAGAAGCGCCAGGATCGAGAACTTGAACCTCATGTTGGTGTCAAGGGCTGAAGGCATTGCAGGAGAGCAGGCGGCTGTGAGAGCCTGATAAATGACGCTTGCCTTCAGAGGAGCTGCCTAATTCAGTGGATCTGGGTGATATAGCAGAAAAAAAGCAAAAAAAAAGAAACATAGAAACAGGCGAACACACCGCCACACCCACTATGGGAGGGAAACAGTATGGGTCAGTATAGCGACTTCTATTTCCCAGGCTATTTCTGTGCACGAGATGCTGGCTTACTTTTTTTTTTTTTTTCAATTTGTAATGCAAACCAGCTCATCGAGCCACAGATATGCTTTTCATTGTTTTATACATATTTTAGAAAGGAAATAGCCTAAAAGAAAATCTCACAGAGCCTGGTTTGCTGCACATACTAAGGAACACAACGACAGTCAATTGTGTTTCCTGTAGTCAAGACTGTCTTCAAGTTGTAGTTTTCATTTTAAAAGGTAAATAATTGTTCATCTTATATGAAACGTGGATAATCTTCTATTTCTTCATATAGGATATGATAAACAGAATCTCTTCCAGCACACTGAAGAATACTAGTTCCAATTTCACAGTGAATGAAGTACTTAGAACACAAGTTCTCATTGTGAACTCTTATTTAAAAAGAAAATAATTATACTTCATTAAAAAAAGATATTCCCAGTAGTTAAAAAATAAATCTGTAGATTATTAAACAAAGGAATTTTTTTTAAAAAGCTTCATTTTTCAATTTTAATTATTGCTTTTTCCATTTCCCTTAGCTCAAAGAAAGAAAATAGGTCCGAGATCAAATCTCTTAAATGGTTTTCAAAAGCTCAGTTTGTAAACTTTCTCCTGAATGAAGGAGCAAATTAAATTTCACTTAGATTACTATTGGATGATCTCTTGTTCTTGAGATTCACGTGGCTTGTCAAAATTCAGTTTGACTCTTAGAATCATAGAATCATAGAATGGTTTGGGTTGGAAGGGACCTTGAAGATCATCGAGTTCCAACCCCCCTGCCATGGGCAGGGACATCTCCCACCAGACCAGGTTGCCCAAGGCCACTTCCATCCCGGCCTTAAACACCTCCAGGGATGGGGCCTCAACAACCTCTCTGGGCAAGAAAGTTCTCTCTTCTCTCCTGAAAGTTTTGTGCACAAAATATTTTATTGATTTTATTGATACTGAGTAACTTGGCTTCTCTTAATCCAGCATTCAGAAGACAGGCAAAAATGGTACAGTAGAAGCCTTTATTTAATAATAATAATAAAAAATCTGTTAAAAAAAGGGATAATATTGCAGTCACAGACTAATAGGTCATGAAGTAGTAGTGCTAGGGTACAGCAAGATAATGCTCTGTCGGTCCTTGGGTATAAAAATCAGCACAATCCATAGATGCTGGGAGCTGATGTTACCTTGGGCTGCTGTGCTGGTGCGACTACTGTTGGAAAACTGCTGAGATTGAGAAAAATGCAACAAGATTTAAAGAACTGATTTTTTTATTAGGCTACACCTATACTGGTGTACCAGACAGTGCTATGGCTTTTTCTCTGATCCTGAAGGTAAATTTACATATTCGTCAATCTTTAGCTTGCTGAGCAGGGTGGCTGACACCAGGCACCTTTTAGGAATGCTGTCCTGTTCATGGTAACTCCTGGACCAAGTCCACTTGACACTGTGTTGTCATCTTAGAGAGGATAAAAGCCCTGGCTCTGTTCAGTTTTCTAGTGTAAAGGTAGAATTAGACCACTGTACCAACTTAGTTTAAAAGGATCTCAGCTTTTCCTCCTTGACAATGGGTCTGTGGATTTGGAGTGGAAACCAAATTATTTAGCAAGAAGAACATACCAGTCTATCCCAGAATCAAACTTGCAAGTGGCAGAGCTAAAATAAGCATATATATATTTTTCCTTTGTAGAGACTGTATTTCATTTGAACAGCTCAAAGAGAGGAAGCAGAGCTTTGTTAAAAAGCTATTGCTCATCATTGCTGTACCACAGGATAAGAGAGAGAGCAAGTAAGGACCTGTGAGCTCCCTCATTTGCACAGGAAGTGATTAAAAAAGAACAGAATCACGAGTAAAGTTCATTGTTTTTTCCCATAACTTGGCCATGAATATTGTGGGCTATACCTTACATAATGTCTTCCCTAGTGAATATCTCACGACATATGTAAAATCCTTATATTAAGTCCTTACAGGGGTGCAGAAAAGGCTCCTATTTAAAATCTTATTGGGGAAATTGCCTTTTAATAAATGTTTAAATTTTAAAAAGAGTTGAGTCAAGTTCATTCAGTCAGGTCTTTCTCTGATGTTATTAATTTAAATTTCAAATTGCATGCAGATACACAAACACACACAGACAGAGACACACAATCAGTATTGAAGGAGTATTCATACATGTCTCAGTCAGTCACATTATGCTGCCTTTGTAGTTAATAGGAAATTATGTGCATCTCAAGAATATGATTAGGCTTAACTCTCTTAAACAGCTGTCTTAGGAAAAGAAGCATAATGTTTTAGAGATTCTCATTTCCCTTCACTGATTATAATGCCAGTCTTTGGTGAGTAGTTCAGATTTAAGCATCCAAACTCTAGAAACTTGACTCAGGACCCGGCTTTTCACCCAAGATTTTCAAGGACTTGCCAAATGTGCTTGTTTACTCTGCTGTAATTCACGTGGCCTGTGCAGTGCATGAGAGGGGGATCTCTTACCTGAGAGGACAAACAAGAGCTGTGTTCCTGCCGGTATGTGACAGAAAGCTGATGTACCAGTGTAACTGGAATACACAGTCCTTAAGAATTACATCCAGCAAACCTCACATTGCTGTTTAGCAGACTTCCCAGTGCCCACCTTTCCCTCCTCCTGTCCCTCCTTTTTCTTTTATCTTTTTTTTTTTTTTTTCCAGAAAAAGGAACTTAGCTATTTTCCCGGTGAGGGGATCTAATGTCCAGCAGCCACAGATAAATGTCTCCTACACATGTACAGGTGATTTACATGAGAATAGGGACTCTGAAGAAATTATATTCCAATATTTATACATTCCAATATTTATTCTTCTAAATTAGTCATAGAATCATAGAATCACAGAATCGTTTTGGTTGGCAGAGACCTTTAAGATCATCAAGTCCAGCCATTAACCTAACACTGCCAAGTCCACCACTAAACCATTTCCCTAGGCACTACATCTTCACGTCTTTTAAATACCTCCAGGGATGGGGACTCAACCACTTCCCTGGGCAGCCTGTTCCAACGTTTGACAACCCTTTCAGTGAAGAATTTTTTCCTAATATCCATCCAAAACCTCCCCTGGCACAACTTGAGGCCATTTCCTTTTGTCCTATCACCAGTTGCTTGGGAGAAGAGACCGATCCCCACCTTCTCTTTCACCATTAACATTAAGATGTTACCACCTTTAGGCAAGAAGAACTGACAACACCCGCTGCCAGGAGGAAGAAGATGCTTTATCCAGAGGGTAGAGTTGGGTTACTTTGCTCACTGGATTTTTTGGGAAAACCCAGTTTGCCCTGACACACTGCCTCACTTTTTGCCCGATGAGATGGGCTTTGCCTGGTATCGTGTTGCTTGAGAAGTGGCCCTAAGCAAACCACATGATGTTCAACAAATCCAAGTGCAAGTCCCTGCACGTGGGTCAGTGCAATCCCATGCACAAATACAGGCTGGGTGGAGGATGGATGGAGAGCAGCCCCGAGAAGAAAGACTTGGAGCTGTTGGTTGATGAGAAGCTCATCATGAGCTGGCAAAGTGTACTGGCAGCCCAGAAAGCTGACCATATCCTGGGCTGCATTAAAAGAAATGTGGCCAGCAGGGCAAGGGAGGGGATTCTGCCCCGCTACTCCACTCTTGTGAGACCCCACCTGGAGTATTGTGTCCATCTTTGGAGCCCCCAACGTAAGAAAGACATGGACCTGTTGGAGCAGGTCCAGAGGAGGGCCACAAAGATGATCAGAGGGCTGAAGCACCTCTGCTATGAGGAGAGGCTGAGAGAGTTGGGGTTGTTCAGCCTGGAGAAGAGAAGGCTCCAGGAAGACGCTACAGCAGCATTCTAGAACCTAAAGGGAGCCTACAGGAAAGCTGGGGAGGGACTTTTCATCAGGGATTGTAGTGGTAGGATGAAGGGTAACAGTTTTAAACTGAGAGACGGAAGACTTAGTTTAGATATTAGGAAGAAATTCTCTACTGTGAGGGTGGTGAGACCCTGGAACGAGTTGCCCAGAGAAGCTGTGGAGGCCCCATCCCTGGAGGTGTTCAAGGCCAGGCTGGACGTGGCCTTGGGCAACCTGGTCTAGTGGGAGGTGTCCCTTCCCATGGCAGGAGTGTTGGAGCTAGATGATCTTCAAGGCCCTTTGCAACCTAAACCATTCTATGGTTCTATGTTTGGGTTTGGGGGCTTAAGGAAATGGCAGGTCTTTTAGATATTCTCCTCAAGCCTCTCCAAGGTAGCAAGGGTAAATAACCATACCCTGAGTCTGAAGCAGTGGTGGCAGGTAGAACAGTTTCAGCTTTCCTCTACAAAAGCTTGGATTGGTCTTTGTGACTGTGATAAGATGCTGCTCTACCCCAGGCACAGAAAATGACAGTTTTAAACTCCTTGTAGCTCATCCAAACCTGATGAGAATTTCACAGGACAGGGAAAAAGGGTGTTCACAGGATGCAGACTCCCCTGTCTGCCAGATCTGCTGCATGCTGGGAAGGTTCCTCTAAGAAGAGAGTAACATGAAATCACAGGAAGCATTAAGCACTGATGGTGATCCATAAATGCTGTTCTCTGTATACACCGCTCTAAATAGAAACAGCTTTGTTTCTCTAGAGGAAAACAGAGTATTCTTACTCTTTTAGGTAGTTTGTGTATGAATGAAGTTCCCTATTAAATGAAAAAACTTCTACAGATGGTTATGAACCATCTGTGGAGAGCACAAAATGTTTATATTATTAAATCATGAAAACAATGTCTTGGTCCTGCAGCCCTCCTTCACAGAGGAAACTTTGTGCACAGGAGAAAGTCAGTAGGTCCTGCGTTTTGTTCTGATATATTTCCTGGCTGAAGTAACTGCCATGTCAATGGCTGTCTGTCATTCCCATTTTTT